GTGGGGTTTTAAGAAGCAAAAACTAAATGCTAAAATACTCCTTCAGTTGATAACTTTTTTCTATGGGTTTGTCACTACGGGCAACACCTTCTTGCATAAAAATTCATCATGTGAGCCATTTGCTGTTTTGGCAGTATGAGCATTTTCTGCAGATGTTGTTGCAGGTAATTCCTATTCCTCTTTGTGTGTACATGCTAGCGGATCTGAATGTGCAGTATTTGCATGCATGTGCAGCACACTGAAAAGTGAAACTAAATACATCTACAAAAAATGTCTGTTTGTGAAATAATCATTTGCTTATAAGGTGTGTGAAACTGAACCACTTCCCTCTATGAGTAGGCACTCTGACAGGATGTGCTTCACTGAAGGGACACGGTGTCCTCCTGCATCCGGCCTCATCTCTCTCCACTTAATCTGCTGGCCGACAACCCGTCATTGAATGTTTATCTTCACTGTATAATCATGTTTTCTTATTTATTTATTTAACAGGAAGGAACAATGCACATTATTAACATTGCTGTAATTGTGTGTGATTAACCTAAGAGGCTATTTTTCAGCTGTAATCCCTGGACAGATGTTTCAAAGTCATCCTAAAAACAGATTACAATGTTTAAAAATACAAAGGTGTTCTTGTGTGGTGTCATTGCATAGACCCTGATCCATCACGGGGTATTACCACAGTGCTGCTCACATACTCAAATACAAATCCCAGAAAATATTGGTGCAACTAAAACAAGCAGAGCAGCTGCTATTTAAGGATCCATGACAAGAAATGTAGTTTATTTGCTGCTCTGCAATTAATATCAGACTTGACTTTTACGTTAACTTTCAAAATGAGAGGACTCTCTAATTTCCTGATTGATGCTCATGCAATTTAAACGTCAAGTGAAATGTTTTTCTCTCTATTCTCGCATGATGAAGTACTTTCACGGTATGTGGTTGCAGCAGGATATGATGTCATGCTACAGAATTTATGGCTCCTTAAAATAAAACATACTCTATCTGACAGTAGCTCACAGTAGCTGCTGTTACAGTAGCTCTTCTGTGTTTGAGGAATTTGAGCCACAGAGCAATTCTCTTGGTCAAGCGTTTTTGGATCGTATGAACTCACAGGTCAAAGGTCAACGCACAGTCTGCACATATGTTGGAATGATGTAAATGGAGCATTAAAAATGGCGTGACTATCCTCATAGAGGAAAAATATGACATCATATTTCAGGCCCAATATATGGTGCCAGATCTATCGAGCAGTTAAATGTAAGCCGTAAAATATTTAAAGCTTTTTAACTTCTTTACAAGATTTCAGTTTGCTGTTCTGTGGATTAACCCTGATGGCTGATCAGCTGAAATGCATTGAAAAGCATTGCAGGACAAAAGAAAGCTAAATTAGATAAAAGCAATTTCACTCAAAAAGAAGAAGCTCGGTAAGATTTTTGACATACGGCGTAAAGTAAAAAGAAAAACATTTGTTTAAATCCAACCTCCACCCACTCTGCCTGGAATAAATCCAGTCAGACTGAATTCTTTATGTTTTTATCTGCCAAATATGTGTCAAATGTAATCTTCCAGAGTCTCAAAAACTCGGAATCAGCCCACAAAATGAACTACTATTATGAAAGATTTTAAGTCCAAATCGAATTCTAAAAAAATAATATTTATAAATGTAAATATAAGTATAAAATACTGTAGAAATAACCACGTTTTTCTCTCTGTTTCTAGTGCCAAACCATCATAATCAGCTCTACATGTGCACTGATTTAAAATGGTGCTCTTAGTGGCAAGTCTCAACAAGTGTTCAGTAGCCTGCTAGACTACATGTCGCTCCTGTAGGACAGTTGATGTCTTCATGTGGTAGCAGTTTGTGTGTGTTCACTGTACTTGATTAGTGATGTAGAACATGAAACCTCTGTCTTAATCTTGTCTAATTTGTGGGAGGCGGCTGATCACTGAGAGACATAATTACAAGGCAGTAACAGAAACATCAGGGGCCGACCTCACTGCCTGGACCAGAGCCCAGGACCTAGGAGCTGTGTGCAGCGCTGAGGCGGACCCTCAGCTACCTGGGAGGGATTATCTCTCTGATTAATCTGCAGAGGGCAGAGCTTCCCCAATTTAATGGAAACCATCCCATGGAGAAAATGACAAGGCGGCCCTGGTGTCTTATCCATAATAAAGACTCTCAGCAAAACATGCAGCAGGTGTGAACCACATTTGAGAAGGATTTGAAGATATAACTATGCTGAATCTTTATTTCATTATTTATAAGTTTCCCATGGTGTTTCAGCCCAAAACCAAGCTGCTGATTTACCACCCAGAAAGTTGCTTCTACTACCAGTGTGGCCAAAACAAGTTAGTGTGATTTTGCCTCTGGACATTTTATCTTGATTAATTTGATCAGTTAACCAAAGAATACCCAACTAAGCCCAAAACTTGAATAGCCTACCAAAGGTTTTTGTTATAGTCTGAAAAGAGCAGGTTTTTGTTTTGCTGCCATCGTGATTCAATTTAAGATGGAGGATTTGTTATCTTTAAGAAGTCACTCAACTGAGAAAACAGACAGAAACATGCCCCACTCTGCAGGTGCGACTGGATCTGCAGCAGGCGTAGCCACTACACTATAAGGGAGCATAGCAACATAACACACAAACACACACACACACACACACGACACGGCCAGATTCATGTAATAAAGTAAGGAGAACTCTTCCCTCTTGATCAGGCCAAAGGTCGCCCTGAAGTTGGGTGTGTGATCTGCTTGTGTTGTAATGAACACACCCAGGACTCAATGTTTCAGCTCAAAGTCAAAACAGATTCCAAGCATGAAAGATGGCTAACATCATCATAATCATCCTCATCATCATCACGGTGCAATCACAAGCCTGCTATAGCCTACTGTGTCACCAAAACACAACAGGCCAGCAGCAATGTGGCTGCTTATCTGTGGAGAATATGATGAAATATGAAACTAAACTACAGTACAACAAAAATGAGCATCGTTATCAAGCTACGAAATAAATTGTGTTAAATGTCCATGTGCACTCTAGTTAAACAACAGCAGCATGCACTAATGTCCAAACCAACAATAGTCTCAATTTCTATAGAGAGATGTTTACAGCCTGTGCATAATCAATTATAAACAGCTGACTTCCTCTTACTCAGACAGATACTCCAAGTTTCTATTAATAAATACAAACCCTATGGACACCGGTGTAGTTTGAGGAAGACCTCAATTAAATAAACCAGCCACTGTAATGCTAGCATAAAACATCCCCAGGCAGATAACAGAGAGAGTAACTCAATATAAACGCCACAGCAGCTGCTTAAACACACATATTGGCAAAAAAAAGAGCTGTTGTTTGTATACACAATGCACTGTTGCTAGGTAACGCAGTTGTTTTTGTGTTGATGCACCCACCTCTTCAAACGTCATCCTGTGAGTCTCTGCATAACGTTAAGCCTCCTCCTCCTTTAGCTCCAGATTGAACTTTTTCTGCTTGGTTAAAGCCTTTAGAAAAGTCCCCTCGGCCTCACTGGTCCAAGTGTCTGTTCTTTCTCAGAAAGTATTTCACTGAATGAATCCAACCAGTCTCAGATTATTGTCACTAACAGTGGGAAGGCCTCACTGAAGGTCGATGGTCCACCATGAGCATGTTAGAAATTAGCATGTTAGCTAGATCCAGAAGGGTTAGGGTTAGGTGCGTTTGATTTGGGTCACTTACTGCCAGGTGGGTGGTGCAGTGACACTTCCCTGATTTTCACAAATTGTTTAAATAATTTGTCATGTGATAGTTGTATAATTATTGTTCATTACTTAGCCTACTTTATGCCGTAGGCCTATAAACATTTAGCTAACCATTTTAAATGCTAATTTATTAGGCCTACTTGTGTATTATCTCATTTATTTAGGCTAACTAGTTAGCATGCACTACCTTATTGCAACCTTGCAACATGTGTTAAGCTTGGACAGCTGGATGCTAGTGGAGCCTCGCAGCGGCGAAACCGTGCCACGCCACACTAATTGCGCCGCATAAGCGCATAGGTGCGCCGCATTTTCGGCTCAGTTGAGGCACCCTCCGCAAGGTGAGGCCCCACGCAGTCTGCATGATCGGCCTGTAGGGAGGGGTCGACGGCCCTGTTTACACATTAACCTTACTATAAATACATTCTACAGACTTACAGCCACAGAAAAAGAGGGCTTGATCAGCTGACAAAAGGTGTGTTTTTGCTTGACTCACTGCCAGCTTGGGTGATTCACCTTGACTTGGATTATTTATCAGGTGGGTTATCTTGCCATTCAGTGAATAGATTGGTGGAGTGGAGTCACATATCAAGTAGATTATGACAGAGCAGCGTGGAGGTCCATTTACTCACAAAGGGTAAATAATTAAGGATCAGAAAGTGTCAGCCCAACTTTGATAGGATTTGGTGTGGGATATGTTGTTCTGTAATATATGTTGTTCGTATGTTCTGTAATCAGTGTTTGGGCATTCAGTTGGGAGCACTCATATTTCTATTATTCAAGAGATTAATAAAATGAACATTTAAACTTATGAGATGAGAGCTACAAACTCTTAATGTATTGGGATCCCATGATCTGGCACTTTGCTTATTCATACATTTTATTATGTAATTTATTACTTTTGGATTTTACTGTAATAGTCATTTCATCCTATTGAACTCTATTCATTTTGTGACTCTCAAAAACACCACAAAAAGCAAGTTTATAATATTGGAATAAAATAATATAAAAATGCACTCTAATAGAAAGAAAAAAACTCGTGCAAGTCATCGTGCATTGCTTACTTTTAATAAAAGGTAGTTGGTAATATGACACACTGCTATGAAAGAGGATATGTTTAATTAGTTTTAAATCTTTAATTTCAGTGCTTCATTGTGATGTTTTCTGCACGTACACTCACTCACACTCAACTCAAGCCTCTCCCACTGTTAGAAAAAATAGAAAAGTGTCAGTTTCCTCGGTGCTATAAAAAGAGGACGCTGCGCACATCTGCACTTCAGCGAGGCGTGGTCAGAGCGACAGACAGGTGCGAAAGAATATACAGCTGCAGGATATCACCAGCCATTTCTACACCTACCCCGTACCTACACAGCTGCAACAAGATGCCTAAGTGTCCAAAGTGCGAGAAGGAAGTTTACTTCGGTAAGATTTGCTCTCTTTTGTTTTTATTTTACTCCAATTAGTTTTTCTTTCACATGCAGAGAATATCGTGTTTCTTGATTTTTGAAATCTTAGCGTCTTTTTGTGCTCAAATGAGGAAACAGGAAACTGAATTGAACTAACACGCTGACAGGCACATGACTGCAAGCAGAAACATGTTTTTTACAAGTCAACTATTAAATAACCTTTGAAAACTTTGGGAAATAAAAGAGTACTGGTTGTACTCGATGCAATTAACATTAAGGCAGTATTTGAAATTGTAGTAGGTTAAAGTCAAGTGTAGCTAATCCTAAGTGCTTTATGTATTTTGGATGCAAAATCATACTTTGTATGTAACTACATTGTGAAATAAATGTATTTAAGTTAATGTCCTTTTGAAATTGTGTGTATTTATATAGAACAATGCAGAAATGTGAATGATTTTAGTAAAATACCTCAACATTTTGCATCTACCCAAGTAGCCTACAGCTTACATTAGATGTACTTTCTACCACTTAAAACACAGGGGCCCTTATACACAAATATATTTGAAATCGAAGCACTTTTTCCTCATAATACTTTCCTGATATTACTTCTGTACTTTTACCAAAGTACATTTTTGAATGCAGGACATGGTGGCAGGTGGAGCATATTATAACTGCTTTATGCACTTTAAAGGAATTATAAATAATGCATTATATTTTATAAACTGTTTGTTGTGGATTGTTTCGGATGTAAAACTTAAACCTAAAGTTTAAAATCTACAATATTTTATTCGGAAAATGGAAATACTCAAGTACAACTGTACTTATTTACTCTTACTACTGCAACACTTTATATTTATATATTTACATGTTTTCAGTTTTGCGGATTAATTCCACATTACCTGAAAAGGTCACTGCACTCTGTAAGCTTTCTTGTTATCAAGTTTCTTTGGAGGTGAGATGAATAATGACTGAATGCAGCGGAGGAAGCAGGTTTTTTCTGTCCTGCAATTCGTCTCCATCCTTGTAGGTGATTCTCATGAGGATACCATCAAAGCCCGGAGCAATTACTGCATCCGGGGAGGAAAGGAACAGCTCCATTTTATTTGTGTCCTAATCCATTTAGCACATTGTCTGCAGCTCAGTAGTGCAGCAACAAAGTAAATCTTCTCTTGGGAGAAGCAAAGCCAATACAGAATACAAGGCCAAGTCTTTGGACTGTCAGTCAGATGAATTGACCGTGCGACCGGGGAGCTTTGCGTCCCATTTTTCCTTTTCATGGATAAACTTTCTCCATCTGGCCAAAACAAGCAAACCAATTTGTCTCGCTCCAGAACAAGTCCACCAAAGAAATATGCTCTTTTCTAAAATATACCTCAGAGGAATAGTAGCCTGAAACAGAGCATTGTATTCTTTATGTGGAAACATCATCCAAACCTCCTCAATAAAAGTTCTCCACGCCTCACTCCTTCACCGTGATCACCCCCATCACACCTCACCGCTGCACTCCCCCGTCCTCTCCGTCTCGTTTGCAGCTCATCTATCCTAATGTTTCTAAGCCCTCAGATGGAAACAATCAGGCTACCGCTGCCTCCCTGAATGATGAGGGGGGAACTTGGTGCAGTTCCAGATACAAAGAGAGCACAAGACAAAAATACTTCAAATCTATTTTGTACACCTCTTTAAGTTTTCGAGTGTTAGACTTTAAATAAGTGCTGCAGAGAAACTAACATGTAGGCTAGGTTGTGTTTGGTGCATAGAGGAAGGCATCAATGAATGAAATGTCTTTAAAACAGGCCATGCTCTCTAAAACTATAGCTTGTGACAATATTGGAAACATGCTTCACTCCCTTTTAACATCATGCTGTCCGCTAAACCATGCAAAAATGTAATGCAATAAGTTCATTTGTGAGCTGTAAACCTGCTTGGCGGCCGAGTTTGTTCACGTCCATTATGCAAAACGAAGCTATCTGAGCTGCCTCTACGTTTTAAAACAAGCTTTGCCTGCTTGTGTTTAGTTATTATAGTATATTTGCTTGTTTTCCGAAGCTCTGTCATCCGTTTTGTGGCTTCCTATTGGATGTATGCTTATAATCTGGCACCTAACGTTAATGTACTAACTGGCAGAAAAGTGAGAAAGAAAATTATCCTTTTTCCCAAAATATCAAATGTGTCAAAGGCTACAGCCAGCAGATGGTTGACCTGAGTACAAGTGGATTTAAATCCAGTCAATTTCCCCACAGAAAAGGTCTGATTTAAAAAAAAAAAAAAGAAGCACAGCTAGCCTGGTTAGTCCTTGCTAGTCTGTCCTACCGTAACGATATCCATACCAGCACATATAAAGCTCACGATTAAACACAAAACTCCTGGATATCACAGCGTTAATGTGTTCGGAAAGAGCTACGTTTCAAATCGTTAGGCTTAGCTAAGCTAACCAACAAAATTACAAAACATTGCAAAACTGATCAAGCACATTAAAGAAATTGGCCACAATAGGCTCAAACGTATTCCCATAAATGGCAAACTATTTTGTAAATGGACTTCATTAAAGAGTAGAGAGTGTATTTAAGGTCATTCATTCAACCCTAAATGCTTCATACTGCATTCTTAGCATCCTTTTTAGCTTGACAAACTGTTATACAACCTCTCCATAGTTTAAACAGCCTCCCTCACAGTGTGTTTTTCCACTCAGATGTGAGTGTTTGTGTATACTGGGCTGACTCCATAATGCCCCAGTCAATTTGAGTTGATGCAGAGAGCAGATCGGATTATCTACTTGTCTCTCACGGCCCATTTATTCCCATATCGTTTGGTAAAATAAATGGCACAAAAAAGAATGCTTTATCAGATCCATATACAATCAGGAGTAACACAACATTGCATGGGCGTGATCACAACTGACTCTGAGCCCAGCGTTAACTGGGAGACTTCCTCTCCATTACTCATTCGACAGACATGTTTACTCAGTCCACTAATTTGTTATTTGAGATTGTACACAGTAATTATTTCAGGTCAAACAAGCTCCACCATATTGTGCTGAAATGTTGTTATGCCACTGGCCTGAGAGGCTGACCTCACCCTGCAGCACTTTCCCCGCTTCCGTTGCCTTGTTTTGGATAATGTCAGGCCATAATTAGAAAGGAAGTGTGTCATATCCAAATTATGTGGGAAGGTCAGTTATTTGCATTCATCACCTGACCTTCCTGAACTCTTATTCTTATGAAGTCTTATCATAAAATCTGCAAATGTCAATCTTGTTTTGTGCTCCTCAGTTACGACATGTTTGGTAGAAACGACATCATGATAACACTTCTGTAATTTTCAGCATATCCTGTGCCCGCCCTCCCTGGCCTCTTGCATTCACAGCGTGTAGCTTTTTTTGGTTTTTGCATAAGATTCTTTGGCCAGATATTCACGTGTGACAGTCTTAAAAGTCGTCTAAACTCTTGCCAATGTTTCTCCAATAAAGCCCTGAAACTCAATACCAATGGATCGGATTCCCCTCCCACTTTTATAGTCCTCCTCATGGGTGCTTGTGCAGATCAGCCCTGCGGATAAAGAGAGTCTTTATCAGAGTTTATGAGGAAGGAGTTGCACAGATTCCTTTTGGGACATTCAGTTCTCTTTTACCCTCAAGCACCACACCCACATAATGTTCTCAAATGTATCTACAAACACATAATCTTGTTGGTCTCAAACTGATATTGTGACCCTGTGACTCGTCTCTTTACTGGACAAAGTTCAAGGCCATGATGATTAATTCTGTCTTTGTATGTGTGTTTTGCAGCCGAGAAGGTAACATCCCTGGGCAAGGACTGGCACAGGCCCTGTCTGAAATGTGAGAAGTGCAGCAAGACGCTGACGCCAGGCTCACACGCATCGGTGAGACACCTGGAAAACAAACAATGCATTCAAGCTTATCCTGTAATCTTTGTTAATGTACACAGGTTTTGGGGTTTGATAGCGCTTCATGAAATCACTATTGAATCTCCATTCTGAAGTCGATATGACAGAATTTAAGTTAATAAATAAAATCCTAGTTTTTCTAGTAGTAGCTAATGATGACCTTAATGATTTGGTCTTATTGTATTCAAACTACTGTCACAATAGATGTGTTAGACTATGTTATGCAGGTTAATATTTAACTTTTTACACTTAAACGTAATATATCGCTCTGCTAGCTATAGGACTAACAAGCTAAGTGCAGTGAAACTTGATGGACCTGCTGGCGCCAAAAATACTTGATTGGATAAATGTATATATACAGACTACAAGATGGTTCATTACAAATCTTTACAGGAAGAGAGAAAAGGGGGATTTTGATATGAAACACTATTTCAAAATATATTTGGCACATAACAAAAGATAAATGAACAATTACCATAAAATATAGACCATAGAAATAGAAATAATAAAATGTTTATTTGTTTTTTTCTTTGAGGTTTTATCAAATTAATAGACACTTTTTGATCATATTTGATATCATACAGATACTTCAACTTGTGAATGTTTCCAATACACTAGTGCTAATACATGTATTCCTCTTACAGCATGAAGGCAAGCCATACTGTCATAACCCCTGCTACAGTGCGTTGTTTGGACCTAAAGGTAAGCATCAGTCACCTTTGCTCAGGTGTAACGCCCTGTGTGAAGATTATTTTCTGTACCTCACAGTTTAATGGCTGTAAACCATCCTATCAAAGCACACAATGTCACCTGATGGGGTCCCACCCTCTATAAACCAGTCCTTACGTAATTGGTGCAAATCGTTAAACTCTTATCTTTTGTTAAAGAATATGTTCTCTTCAGATTTTCAAAATAAAAGTCTGAAATGCCTGCTTCTGTTAGTTCACTGACTCCTTCCCTCCTCTTATTTTTTGCAGGATTTGGACGTGGTGGGGCTGAGAGCCACACATTTAAATAAACAGGTAATTTGCATTTGATTATATTTGTTCACCTTGTACATCCTATTTGTTAAGACAAACACAGCCCTTTTGAATTCAAGCAAATCCATTGTAGTACTTTGCCCAGCCTCATGTGTGTTTGCATTTCTTTATCATCAGGTTCAACGTTGCCTGGAAGCTTGATTGAAGAGGCCAGCAGTGCTCACTCGTCCAATAAAAACCAGCAAACATACTGTGTTCTCATTCAGAAGAAACATTTAGTTTGTCTGTTTTTATTTCATGTTTTTAAACTCTGGTTTCTAAAAATGATTGTCTAATCCCATGATGTTGTAATGAAGTGGTTATCCTCAAACCCTTTCCTGTTCTTAAAGTGGACATTTTGATTAAACTCTTGTGTTTCTTTCTTGATTTAATTGTATTCATTCTTTGTCGAAGACCCATAAATTAGACCTTTTTTCTTGTCAATGACAACGTTCATGTCAGTTGCATTTAGTGTCACATTGTTCATTATGTGTAATTTAATCTGCATTCCCTTTTTATTTCAACCCATGACTTTTGCAGTCTTTCTGATGCTACTCACATAAATGTCAACCGGTGACATTTGCTGCATGATTTCGGGCTTCAATAAAGCACAACATTCCCAAAATATAACTAGATGTATTAGAAGTACAACAGTTTCAAGAAAAAGTCAAACACAAGACAAGTCGGGGTTGTTGGGGAAATATTTTCCAAGGTCCATAACTTTGACCCAGTTTATCAGTTCAAACTGTCCTGACTGAGCACACGCACCTGTAACCTTGGCTGCTGTGCTCTCAGTGTTTTGACTCCCTATTCCTGCCTGTTGACGTCAGCTGATAGAGGTGTTATGATTCTATCTTGTTATGCAGCATGTTGATTATTCTCTCTGAACTAGCTAAATACATGGGTCTGGGGTAGAGTTCTTCAGATTTGACGTGGCAACTCTACCGTGAAGTCAGAACCTCTGGCTCTTGGACTTGTGATGTGAATCCTCCGGCCGAAGCTCCTATAATAAACCATCAGTGTTTGACATCAAAGCTCCTGCTCTTCCCGTGTCTCCTTCATGAGTCGGTGACTTGCTACACAGAAGTTTCCCTTACAGGGGTCATCAATTTATTCAAGAATGTACAAAAACACAGCAATCCATATGTGCCGAACCTCAACAACACTGCGAAAAAAAATAAAAAACCTTATCAATAAACCTGAATACAACACATTCAGGTTAATAGCTCATGTCAAATTATATAAAATAACATTTTAATGCACCAATATTAAAATGTAATATTATGTATGAAATAACTTCTTTAGCAATGCTTACTTTTAAAATAAAATCATGCTCATGCTGGTGCATTGTGGGTAGCCGGAGCAGCTGAGTCTTTACAGATCCACCAGATGCTTCCTTTTTGGTTTCTTGCCAAACTTTTTCTCTGCACGCCCGCCCTCGATGTCCATGGATCACGTAGCAGCCTCCACCCTCCACCATGCCTCTGCCATCCCAGCCTGTTGCTATGACAACAGACACAAACAGGGCCCAACAGACGGCCCGTGTGTCTGTCCGTCCGTCTGGCGGTCATCATGTTTTCCCTTCTCTGCAACAAAGACGCTCAGTGTCGCAGGAAAATCACAACCAAGTCCATACACACTGAGGAAACTGATGAAAATGTGCAAAAGGATGTTTGGCAATGAAGCAATTGTCTGCATTTTATCTAAATTGACTGTGAAATTAAACACAAATGCAGCTTGTTTATGCATTTTGTATATTTGAGTTGGCATGCATTTAATATAATATGGCCTCTGTTTTTGATATTTACTTGTTATAATTGGTCTATTTAATTTAAACTTTATTAACTTAAAGACAGAGCCAATACATTCAAAGTGAAGGAACAGAAATGCTAATAGGACTCATACAAGCCAACACTTTTGCAATTTAAAAGTTAATGAAAATTAGAATAAACACATTTATGTAGAAATCTGGAAACAATAGGGGCTTTTATTGTATATAAAAGTAGGTCGTATAGCATTTTTTTGCTTAGCATCATGGAGTTTGCTCATAGAAACAATTTACCTTGCTAGCATATTTTCTTATACTGTAGCTAGCTGCAGTAGTAGCTAGGCTAACGTTTAGCCTGATTGAGTTGGTTGAAAACTAAATGTGTCTGTAGAGCTCTGCTTGGAACCTTCATAAAAAAACAAACATCCACACTATGTATTCTACTTAATGGTGACACATGATTGTGATAAAAAGACGGAAGCTAACGCTAAAAGGTCACAGGCCAAAAGTGTATCCTCTCTGTCCTGCTCAATAAAGCTGTCTCTGTAGCTAACACTAAGTAATGAAGACTTGCTTTCCTTGGAAGAACTGCCCAGTTACTGCCAAGCTACAGTAGATAAACACACTGTTTAATTCACTAATTTCACTATAGCTCTTTGTGTTGGTTTTGTAAAGGCTTAATCATCTTAATTTTAATGACTATAGCAGAAGACATAAAACAATTGGCCTTATTTCTACACGCAAGTCGGATAAAGTAACTGGAAAATATCCTTACAAAGCTTACAAAATCAGGTTTAGGAAAGGCTAATTGTGTGGTGGATTGCTTAGATCCCTCTTCTAATAATAGTTTTTGCTTGTGCAAATACCTCCTATTTGCACAGGAAATACCAACATATCGTTTATCATGATGACGCATCCGGATGATGGCGAGAAACCTGCAGCATTAATTAAGTTCACAGTTGGATGTTCAAGACCTTAATAGGCCACAACACATACTTTATTCATGATGTTGGGACATAATGAGTATCATTTCCTGACATGATTGTAAAGAAAGCTGTGTGCAGGCAGGGAGAACATTTAAAAAGCACTTATGGTGACTTACATTGCACTTAAAATGAAGTGTTACAGGTTTTATTTTTACTGTCTTGCAGGGGGAGAGTGAGAGCAAAAAAAACCTGCTGTGTCAGCGTGAATCAGAGGCCCCTCACTCATGAAACTGTAAAATTAGACTCATAAACCTATTAAGGACTGGAAAATAAGTGTTGAGGTGTCTCAAGGCTATTCCAACCCATGCAGACCCGGGTGGCCTTTCATTCCCAAAGTCAGGCTTGAGAAAAAGATGGATTGAAAGAGTCTTCTGGACAGTTAGGTTTTGAATAATTGTTTTGAAAGTAAAACTACAAGAAAGTACAAATAAGAAGATACAGTTCATACCATTACTTATTTTTGTTGTGGTTAACAAATAAATAAAGACAAAATGAGCCTACAAACCAATAAAATAATTATCTATTTGTACAGTCCTGCGACAGCCACAGTAGGCTACTTGAATTTGATAATAGCATTTGATTTATTTAAGTCTGTAAGGACAAAATTCTTCAAAAAATTAAATGGCTACCCTTGAATCTTGCTTCTATTATTGGTTATAAATGAATTTCTGACATAAAATAGTGCGATAGTGCAAGTTATGCAACGGTTCAAGTAAAATGCTGCAATAAATACACTTTAAACATGTAAAATATACATATGTACAACTCAAAGCTGTACACTGGAACAAAATGCTGCTTATTGTAATAGTATATAAACATGTTGACTGTAAACAGATGAATGTGCTACAAACAGAAGCAAACTGTGGATCGTCTGAGAGATTTAAAAACATTTCTGGCCTTCCTGCTTTTCTAAGAGACAATAAGTGAGACTGAAGAAAACTTCGTATCCTTGAGGCTAACAGTCAGGACTTTAAACTGTATCACATGTGTGAAATCGTGAAAGTCATAAAATCACGCTCGCCAGTTTTAATGTGGACACACACATGTCTGTGCCAAAAGGCTATTATTATTTTAAACATCTGTCTTTCTAGATTCTACCTTCTGATAGACCACTTAAAGTAATAATGTTCATTTGTGAACATTGTCTTTACATTAGCAGTCTCTGCATGGTCCGCTCTAAGAGTTTCCACTCAGTAAAAAACCTGTTAATGTGATTTCATAGCGGTAAAAATAAAGGTGTGAGCAGGAAATCCACCATGTACTTTTCACCCACTTAACCCTCCTATTGTCTTCGCCCCCCCTCCCCCTTACTTTGGTATTCGGGTCAAATTTGACCGGTCCTGTTTACATTAACACAAAAACCATTAATCATCACCAAATGTCATTTAACACCCTTTCAAACTGTACATATTGTATCAGACTACTGGTATACATGAAAAACTGCAGTAAATATACAAAGAATAGAGACTGAACATGTATTGCGTGTGCCAGGTGTGATCCATGTGGGGGGATGGGCACATAAGAGCGGGAAATGTGTCAAAAAAAATTCTGTGTGTGTTTGTGTGTGTGTTTGTGTGTGCCAGGTGTGATTCACATGGGGGGATTGGGCACATAAGGGGGGGACACAACACATCTAGAGTGTGTGTGTGTGTGTGTGTGTGTGTGTGTGTGTGTGTGTGTGTGTGTGTGTGTGTGTGTGTGTGTGTGTGTGTGTGTGTGTGTGTGTGTGTGTGTGTGTGTGTGTGTGTGTGTGTGTGTGTGTGTGTGTGTGTGTGTGTGTTTTATCTGATCCGGATGGTTACTAATTCCTTTTCTTAATGGCAGTCCTTTTTGACCGGGAACACCATGGGTGTTACATAGTTGACTAAATCATCCAAAATGCAATGAAAGTGGTGATCAGTAATTTGATGTGTTCAAATGTCTACTGTGAAGCATATCATAATTATAACTACTGCTACTGAACATTTTCTGATTTTTCATAGGCAGTTTGAATGATTTGTTTTTGCTTTGATAGCAGTAATAAGGCTGAGGTTTATAATTTTCTACAAGGTTGTTAATATGCTAAATCAAAATGTATGATTGCCTACATGAATTGAAAACGGCAAAGACGACTAAAATCAAATGTAGATTAAAAAGGTCACAAAATGAAATTGGAGAAAAAAAATAAGTATTTCTATTACTAAGTATTCCTATAAAAACTTGTAGCCTTTGGTTCCTTACATTTTCTCGATGGGAAATTCACTTTAGTTAAACCTCTTAAGATATATTAAACCTGTATTAAGACAATGTTTGGTTTAAAGTGGACAAGGCCAAGGAACTGCACTGTTTTAAAGAGAAATACGTTCATTTGTTTTCTTTCTAAGAGTTTAAATGTGAAGATTGCTGACAATTTCGTTAAAGATCTACAGTAGTTTGAAAGACTGGTATTAGGACGCACATTTCAAATTAATCACAGATAGCATATTTCATTTTCAAAACATGTTCAGTTGAAATTGGAAAGACCTGACTGCTGCAACACACACCTGCACCCTCCTCTCCTCATCATCAGTAACACCACTTTGAATAAATTCCAGTGTGTGAAATTTAGAAACGTGCCTTTGGACAACCTCCCGTCTTGAGGAATTGTATCCCAG